TATGATTAGTTTTGCTCAACTAGTTTTTGGGCACTTCACTTATGCAATTACATTTGACATATTTAATTACCTGGTTTCTGTTTGCCAATTGAAGATTTGTAAATACAATTGCATTTAAAGTTTGTTGACTATGCTTACTTTTTTTTTTTATGTTCCATTAATCCAAGTGCTTGCTAAGTAAATCCTTGGACATTTGATTGAGTTTAGGGAATGTGTTTAGTTTTCCCGAACTTATTTTTCTGCTTTCCATTGATCCAATTAGATTTCACAAATGCAATTACCTGATTACTGTTTGCCAATTGAATATTTGTAACACCAATTGCATGGACAGTTTTCTGAATATGTTGCATGGAAAGTGTTGTTGTGATTGATTAAATTTTGGAAACTTGCAGAATTCGGGTACCCATATTAAGGGATGCGGCAATGACAAACTATGTGGCTTATGGTTTCAAAATCATTTGCCTGTTCCAGTGAAAGACAAAGTCAAAGTAGCGGGATTTTCTGAGTTCGCAAATTTACTTGCGCGAAAGGGAAGGAGAGACAAACAAATCATTTCAGCATTGGCAGAGCGTTGGTGGGACACCACACATACATTCCATCTGGATGAGGTCGGGGAACTGACAATGACCCCGAAGGACTTTAGTGCGATCACAGGTTTACCCGTTTGTGGGAAGCCTTTAAAATATGACATGGAGGCCCACAAAAAACCTAAGGAGGTAGTGAGGCTATTTGGGACCCCCATTGCAAGCCTGATTAATACCAAGATAAAATACAGGGACATTGTGGAGAAGTATAAGGGGTGGAAGCCGCAAACCGCTGTACAAGAAGACCAGTTAACTCGTGTCTTTATTCTCGCATTGATTGGCAGCACTCTATGTAATGATAAGAGTGACTCTGTTTATCTATACTACATGCCCAGTCTTGCTAAAGTCGATGAGATTAAAGACTACAATTGGGGCGGGGCTGGGTTGTCATGCTTGTATTTGTCGATGGATGCTATTTCCAGAAGAATAGTGTCAAGCTCAGGAGGGTATTGGCGGGCTTGGGAGGTGAATACATTTATACTTACAAACTAAATGATTATTAAAATTCATTACACTTGGGTGTTTTGGTTGTCCAAACTAACAGTGTTATGTTTTGTGTTTATAGGTATGGGCGTGTGAGTACTTGAAGCCACTTGCTTTAAGTCGACCATGTACCGATGAAGATAGTCAATGGCCGCACGCGTTACGCTAGTTGGGTGCCCCGGATGTGCGGGAAACATCCCACAACTTGGAGCAATTTAGGATAACATTGAGATATATCACTACTGATCAAGTCAATTGGTATCCATGGGGAACTGATGATACAACCCTACCGCATTATGTGCAAAGCAGCATTCCAGCTACAAAACAAAGAATTCTACTACAAGGACCAGTCGGGTATGCTTGGTATTTAGGGGAAAGAGTAGCTGTGCAAAGCTTAGGTGCACCAGATCAGCGGATCCCAAAAAGACCCCCTCCAACCATGCTCAAAGACATGAAAGTGTATGCCATGGACAATGAAACCAAAGCATCACTTAAGGGATTTAAGGCTGATGACTGGTTTGCTGAATCCACCGACTATGGAGTCTTTCGAAATGAGTATGTCAGATATAAGCATTATCCAACTGTCATCAATAATGTAAGTTGTATCTTTGTTAATGGTCCATAATATAGTTTTGCATTATGCAAAAATATATTTAATTTATATCATATCACTATGCAGAGTGCAGAAGAAGGTGTGTGCTCTGTTGGTCCGAACATTCAAGGTAGTGAAATTAAAATTCCACCATGGACTGTTCAAGTGGTGGGATGGGGGGACGCAGATGATTGTGAAGTATTAGATATCCCGCGAGGCAAGTCTAGCACGTGCCTACCACTTCCGAAGGATGTGAAATATGTAAGTTTGAGGTTCAGGATTGGATTTAAATGTTGAAATCGAAATTCTTCTGCAGTCTGCATAGTGATTTGATATGAATTCAATATTTTTTTGCATAATGCAAAACTATATTAGGAAGGACCATTAGGAAAGCTAAAACTTACATTGTCGGTGACACTTGGATAATGCTTATATCTGACATACTCATTTCGAAAGACTCCATAATCGGCCTTCTCAGCAAACCAGTCATCAGCCTTAAATCCCTTCAGTGATGCTTTGGTTTTATTGTCCACGGCATACACTTTCATGTCTTTGAGCATGGTTGGAGGGGGTCTTTTTGGGATCCGCTGATCTGGTGCACCTAAGCTTTGCACGGCTACTCTTTCCCCTAAATACCAAGCATACCCGGCTGGTCCTTGTAGTAGAATTCTTTGTTTTGTAGCTGGAATGCTGCTTTGCACATAATGCGGTAGGGTTGTATCATCAGTTCCCCATGGATACCAATTGACTTGATCAGTAGTGATATATCTCAATGTTATCCTAAATTGCTCCAAGTTGTGGGATGTTTCCCGCACATCCGGGGCACTCAACCAACGTAACGCGCGCGGCCATTGACTATCTTCATCGGTACATGGTCGACTTAAAGCAAGTGGCTTCAAGTACTCACACGCCCATACCTATAAACACAAAACATAACACTGTTAGTTTGGACAACCAAAACACCCAAGTGTAATGAATTTTAATAATCATTTAGTTTGTAAGCATAAATGTATTCACCTCCCAAGCCCGCCAATACCCTCCTGAGCTTGACACTATTCTTCTGGAAATAGCATCCATCGACAAATACAGGCATGACAACCCAGCCCCGCCCCAATTGTAGTCTTTAATCTCATCGACTTTAGCAAGACTGGGCATGTAGTATAGATAAACAGAGTCACTCTTATCATTACATAGAGTTCTGCCGATCAATATGCGAGAATGAAGACACGAGTTAACTGGTGTTCTTGTACAGCGGTTTGCGGCTTCCACCCCTTATACTTCTCCACAATGTCCCTGTATTTTATCTTGGTATTAATCAGGCTTGCAATGGGGGTCCCAAATAGCCTCACTACCTCCTTAGGTTTTTTGTGGGCCTCCATGTCATATTTTAAAGGCTTCCCACAAACGGGTAAACCTGTGATCGCACTAAAGTCCTTCGGGGTCATTGTCAGTTCCCCGACCTCATCCAGATGGAATGTATGTGTGGTGTCCCACCAACGCTCTGCCAATGCTGAAATGATTTTTTTGTCTCTCCTTCCCTTTCGCGCAAGTAAATTTGCGAACTCAGAAAATCCCGCTACTTTGACTTTGTCTTTCACTGGAACAGGCAAATGATTTTGAAACCATAAGCCACATAGTTTGTCATTGCCGCATCCCTTAATATGGGTACCCGAATTCTGCAAGTTTCCAAAATTTAATCAATCACAACAACACTTTCCATGCAACATATTCAGAAAACTGTCCATGCAATTGGTGTTACAAATATTCAATTGGCAAACAGTAATCAGGTAATTGCATTTGTGAAATCTAATTGGATCAATGGAAAGCAGAAAAAT